ATCACCCAAAACTTAAAGTGAAAATTTATTAATAATGACTGCCAGCACATGGTATATAATTGACAAGGGTGTTTTTTTAAACAAAATCCTCTAATTAAAAAATATATAAATTTAAATCCTACCATATGTAAGACAAATTTGGTTGGTGGTGTCAGGTGTGGTCAATTAAACTAATCAATGGATTCTTTTTGTTAGTAATGACCGCCAGCTCGTGGAATATAATTAAGTACATACATAAATTAGAATTCTACCTTACGCAAGACAAACTTTTTGGACCTAAATTAAAATTAAAAAAAATCATCGATGTTATTTAAATATTAACTTTATCATGTATGAAATATTCCAATCTTAGAAAAATGAACAATTCGATGTGCACCGAAACCAATATTGATCACGATGGATATGGAAAAAGAATAAAACCATTTAAAGTTTATAATATATAATTTGGATAATTATTATCATCACTTAATTCCTTCGTTAGAAATAACTAACAAAACAGTGATACGTGCTGAACAAATCTACATGCATGTTGGGTTAAAATTAAAACAAGAGGATGATTATATTGAAAATTTTATTTTTTATAAATTTATAAAAGAAAAAATATCTAATATTACTTTAGATAATTTTATGTAATGTTTACTGAAATGATGTCGTTTTGAGGTTGAAAAATTAAAAAATTAGAATAATAAAGATTATTATAACTCTGAAATAAATTAAAATTACAAATACATAATAATTTTTGCCCCAAAATAATATCGTTTTGGCGAACATTAAATGAAATTGTCTAAAGTAACTTTAGAAAAAATAAATTCATTTATAAATTATATTATCTCTTATTAATAAGATTTCACTCAAAAATATCTTATGGATAAGATATAGGATAATTTATAAACAATATTTTAAAATAATTATGTTGCAATGATTTTTCTAAATACGTGTCCGATTTTGGACCCTAGTGAGTCGCTAATTTTCTTTGGAAGAGAACTATATCGGGTATCAAATGTGCGAGTTTAATGGTTTATTATACCGGAAAGATCCGTGTACAATTTTTTAAAAATTATATTATGTACTCTTAAAAAAATATAATGTAACTTAATATTTTTCTGGAAGAACGTAATATAATTTGTAAAGGATTGTAAATAAAAAATTTCTAAATATAATTCCTCCGATATTATATTACTCAGGTGCAAATGGTTATTATATTACTATTATAACTAATATTTGGTGTGACATGCCTCAAATGAATCAAATCAATGAATTGAACATGGTGTGACATGCTTCCCAAGATGGTGTGCGCAAGGCATGGCTCTCGTTTTACAATACAAAATTACCTATAACAATTTTATTTTTTTTGGGTAAAACATAACGACTCTTTAATATTGCATGATTACGGTGGGTTTGGTTGAGATGGGATAAATTGATATTATTAGAATTAGGGATGTTCATCAACCGATCCAAACCGATTCAAACTGCGGTGACCGAACGGAAAAATCGATAACCGAATAAACCGAAAATCGAAAAACCGAAAAAAAATCTGCAAATTCTAATTGGATTGGATCGGATTTCAAATTGGTAAATAAAAACTGATCCAATATATTAATTTTCCTCTACCTACTTGGGTCTTTATATAATCATAGCCCAAAAATTTCTAAACTCAAGACTCATTAACTCATCAACCAAACCCAAGAAAAAACCTAGTCAGATCTCATTAACAAAATTTCATCTATGTAGAGCTTCGTATCTCATTGTCCAAAAATAAAAACTATTATCGTCTGATACTTTTGTATTTAAGTATCCAAAAAAACTCTCGTTGTCCAAAAAAATTACAAAGCCAATATATACTAAAGATGTTATTTGCACAATAATAATGAAACAAATTTTATGATTTTCAAAAACCGAAAACCGATCTAATCCAAACCGAAAAAAATTGGATCGGATCGGATTTGAAAAAAAATCAAAATCGAATGGATGATTACATGATCAAACCGAAGGGATTGGATCGAATGATTTTTGCCTCCAAAATCGATCAAATCCAGACCGCGAACACCCCTAATTAGAATGAAAAGGGTATTTTAATTCAGTATTATTTTAATACGTGTAAGTAGGATACATGTTAATAAATAAATAAAAAGTATTATTATTTTGATTAACTTTAATTAAAAATTAAAAAATATTAAACTTTTTTTTTATTTTTTTTAAATACTTTTAACTTTGATATTATTAGAATGGATACAATAAGGCGAGTGTATTAGATGAAACATACATATATGCAGAAAAAATTTGCTTAAATTTTGAATGATTGATAGATGACAATATCTTCTTTATATTTTTTATAATCGTATAAGTGATAGAATTAAAATGAGTATAAAAATAGTAAAATAGGATGTGATATATGTTCGGTCTTAGGGAACCGTAGAATTATACCATAAGTTATGCGCTCAAAGATATCTTAGAGACAGATATCTTAGTTGGTTTATAGCTAATATCTCAATCACGGTGCACAAGCAATAGGTTTATAATCAAAACGTGGGTGTGTGCATAGTATTGACATTAATAATAAATCAGTTTAGTATGTATACTTAAGGTCTTTAGCTTTTTATTTATAAAGATTATCTTTTGGACTTGGGTTGTGTATATCTCTCAAATGAAGTAGGATTTAATCTCTTATTTATAGAGACAAGATCTTTATTTCCTTGTCTATTAAAGGACTTATGAGATAGACTGTTAGGAGATGGATATATTCCATAATAATATGTGTATAATACCGTACCAAAAACAAATTTATGGGGTCTTAACTCTGACGTAAGGGATGACTCAGTTTACAATCTCAAATAATACAAATTAAAGTGTATCCTTATCCAAATTAAATTCATTAATTTTTTTCTCTAACTTTCTTCAACGTTACTATATTCCCGTCCTTTTGAAATTCGAGATTGTTTTCTTTATCCTTTTTAACTCAAGAAGTTTGACAACGTTAATTAAAGTATTACGAATTTAAATTTTTTTAGTAATGGCTTTATTGCACTTTTAATTCAAGTGTTCTATTTTAGTCACGGGTGTGAAAAAAATTCATATAAATCAAACTGTGAATCGAATTCCATCGAGAGGATTATATTTTTCTGTATTAGTTTAAGAATTAAAATATTTATTTTAAATCAGTTAAAAACCAAATAAATTTTTTAACATGATTTGATTTTTTGAACGTAATATTTTTTTGATTTAATTCAGTTAGGATCGAAAATCAAACCGAATCATACCCAACTTAAGGAAAAAATTATACACTATTAGAAAAGTCTTAATTATCGACGGAAAATATTTCATCAAAATTATAGTCAGAAATTTCGACAAAAAACTTATTCCGACGAAGTTTTCGACAAAAATAATATTCAGTCAAAATTTTTTGACGAAAATGAATTTCGTCGAAATTTTTTAAAAAAGTATACGTTAAAAGAAATTATATTTATGACTTTTCGACGAAAATAAGATTCTATCAAAAACCTTTATAAAAAATAAATATAAAAAATTATATTATGATAAAAATCGATCGAGATGCACCGGTTCCGATACATGGTCGGTCCGTTGTTTCAACCGGATCGGTTAAATGACCAGTTAAACATTTCTCGGGTTGACCCGGCCGGGTCGATCGAATTTTTTTTAACATTGACTATATCTACTCATTAACAATATTATTAGATTAGAATCTTAAGATAAGAGAGAAAATGTGAATGTTAGTTGACATTATTGAAGATAAGTAAATTGAGCAGGCATAAAAAAAAATAGGCACAATATTCAATCCCTATATATATATATATATATATATATATATATATATATATATATATTAATATTTTAAAAAATAAGTACGCAGGAATAAATCATGCATGCATCTTTTACTAGGAAAAAACTATTTTTGAGCGTATGATATAACAAAAATAAATAAATCACTAAGCACGTGATCAACTATTAAAGGGTTATTGTTAGAGGTGGCAAAGTGGACGGTCCGCCTTGTCTCGCTATCAACCACCTAAAAATGAGTCAGTCCGTCCCGCTTTTGAAAGTTGGCTCAAAAACTCAGCTCGTCCCTCTCCGTTTGGCGGGTTGGGCCGCCAGTCCGAGCCTATTTTACACTGACCCGTCTCGGTCCGCTTATGCCCGCCATCAACTCGCCAAAAAATGAACCTGCTCCGCCCCGCTTTTGAGATGATTTGAAAAACTCAGTCCACCCCTCCCCGTTTAACGAGTTGAGCGGGTTGGCCCGCCAAGCCGAGCTCGTTTTGCCGGCTCTGGTTATTGCAACTTAACCAATAATTTTGAGTTTTACTATGTGGGAACATGTATTAAAAATTGAAGAGATAACTTTGCCCCTCACATGGACTTTAACGGCTTGAATTGGTGCCTGTTTGGATCTTATCTGTTATTTTTGAATTGTGTGTTTTTTTATAATGAAGAGTTATAAAAGATAGAGAGAGATAATTTTCTTGAAATATGTGTTTTTAGGTAACTTTTAAACTAAAATTTTTATATAATTACCAAACAGCTTTTAATTTTTTTCTAAGCTTTTTTTTTATCTTTAACTCTCATAAGTAGCTCATAGCTTAAAAAAGAGAGATCAAAACAGTCTCTTGGACTAGTCGAAGGATCCATTAACATATGGATAACGAAAATAAAATAAAGAGTAAATACATTTTTGGTCCTCACCAAATTTCACGATTGCCCCTTTAGTCCCAAGTAAATAAAAAGGCCCATCGTGGTCCTTAAGAAATTCAAAATGAATCCATTTAGTTAAAATTGTGATCCCTCACAAATTCAAAAAAACCCATATTTGTCCCAAAAGGACTAAAATGGTCTATTTTGAATTTTTCAGGGACCACGATGGGCTTTTTTTATTTGCTAAACACGAAATCGGACATCGTGAAATTTACTGAGGACCAAAATTGATATTTAATCTAAAATAAAATAACAATTATAATAACAAAATTAAAAGTAACTTTTCTGAAGAAAAAAGAAAGAAAAAAAAATCCCAAAGCTTGAGAATTGGAAATGGGTAGTGTGGCATGGAAGCAGCTTCTTCTAAACGCTTTGGAATCCAACAGTAACCTTAAGCACTCTTCTTTCATGCAGCTTGTATGTCAATGTCACTGCAAAACCCTCTTCTTCTTCTTTTTCCTTTTTTCTTAATTGATGGTTCTTTTTTGTGTTTCAGGCAACCATAGGAACCAACGGAAAACCTTCGAATCGCACTGTCGTTTTTAGGTTATGTTCTTCTGTTTGTCTTTGTCACTTACACACTCACTTTTTTTTTTTAATGGAAATTCACGAGATGGGGTGTTTTGGGTTTTCAGAGGATTCCAAGACAACACTGATAACCTCCAAATTAACACTGATGCCCGTACTCGCAAGGTTGTTCCTTTTTCCCTCTCTTTACTTTTTTTCAATCAAATAAAAACTGGGTTTTTGTTTGTTTGGAATTTAGTTGCTGGGAATTGCATTTGGATCTTTTCATGTTCTTCGTTTCATGTGTTAGTTAGTGATATATAATATATAATTATTTCTGTTTCTTCACCTAATATTAAACTTTTAGGATACCTGGTTCTTTATATGATGTCATAAAAAGTTGAATTTTTTTTACATAAGATGGATGGACTTTTGCATTGCTGATGTAATATAAATTTCTTAAGCTTTTAGGCCAATTGATTCATGAATTTACTCATGTTATGAGATAGAAAAATACAAGCGCAAGTTTAATAAACCTCTATTAAAGTTGTTTGTATGTCTTTCTCTCTCAAGACGTGAGAGAAAGAAAATGAGAAATCTAAATCCGGCTTACATATATATTACAATAAAATTTATTTTAGTCATGTAACCTATCATATTTGTTGTCATGATTAAGGTTTTCATTAAAAAGTTACTTATTTGGAAGTCTCTGTTGGCTTATTCATAGTGCAGATTGAAGAGCTCAAGCTTTGCTCCTCTGCTGAGGTAATTATTCTCTGAGGTACACTCCCCTTTTTATTTTTTATTTTTTTCTGTTTAGGGGCTTAGATTTTGAGACTAGTGTAGTTCTTGTGTTTAGATATGCTGGTATTTCACGGATTCCTGGGAGCAATTCCGGATAAATGGGAACATAGATATCATCGATGGGTCGAATCCTGATCCAATAAAACTTCAGGTTTGATTGGAAATTTTTAGTTATCATTAAATCACATTGTGTGAAGTTGTTATTCCCTTTGCCATCTGTTTCTTGAATCAAGTGTGGTTTGCACAAACTGTGTTATGAATATGTAAAGTTGTGATGTGAAAATGAAAATATAGTCCAGATAAAGCAATTGTGCTATTTACTACTAACTGTGAGAAATGCAACGCATAGCCTGTGATAAATGATAGTGCGTTGTGCTTATGCTCATCCCTGTGAAAACAGCTTATGTCCCTGATCTCACAGGAGGTGAAGAGAGTGAATATTAAAAGTTTACATGCATTTCTTATGAAATATTCTTAGGCCGTTACAATGAGGAAATATTAGGATCTTTATAGTGAGGAATTTCAAAATGTGAAGAAAATTGAGTTTTCCACTGAGACAGGATTCTTTTCTTACAGCATTTATTCATGCTCAAGGAGATGGATAAGTCAACCTGCTATGTAAAAGCAATTTGAACTAGCTCAACTCTAGTAATTTGAGGAGAAGACGAGCTAAAGATAAAGGAAGATTAAATTGAAATGGCGGTGGGGGATTGAACATAGCACATGACTAATTACTTCACTTCTGATTTTCCTATTAGGCATATCAATGAAAAGTTTCATATAATTAATTTACTAAATAACTCAGACAGGCCTACCAGATGCCTAAAACTGCTTAAATCCAAGCTACTTACTAGTTTTAGGGCAACCCAAAACTTGTGGACTGGATGACACATCTGCTACCAAAGTGGGAATTTTGTATGAACGTGCCCCTTGGAAAATCAAGCAAGCATTATTCTCCCTAATCAAAACAGGGAATGTAAAACAAAACTCTTAATGGAGCTGGATTTGGTTTATTTCCTTCCAACATATATATATTTTCTGGTTATACAACAGATCTTTCTTCTTAAATTTAGATGCTATCAAATGCTATAATTGTCCCTCTGTTTATCAATTCGTAATGCAGCAAAGAGAAAATTCCTGGTTTGCCAGTTCAGTGAGATCAAGGATGCAATATTTGGAGCCTAACCCAGGACTTCCCTGTCTAAATGAACAACCACAGGCAGAAATAACATTAGATCCTTCTACAGGTCCAGTTGATGCTTTTTGTTTATTGATCCTAGAGCCAGATCAGGTAGTGATATCTCTCCTAGTCTGACATTCATTCCTTTTTGCTTTCACATATTTACTTTGGGTTAAACATTTTACAGGTTGATTACTTGAATCTGAAGAGTAACCAGAGGCTAACATGCAAAACAAGTGTGAGTGCAGCAAAGAAAAGCTGGATTATGGAGAGGGTCAACCCATAATCTGTTCTCAGTCATACTTAGATTTTACTGCAAGCAACAAGTTGCATGTTCTGAGTATAGAGAGAAGATTGACTGGAACATGCCAGTCAGATTTTCGTTTGACACTGGTCACTAGATGATCAGCTTTCATTCCTCTTAATGTTCTGAACAGTGGAAGGTTGTACTTGTTCGATATAAACCTAGTAAGATTGGATGCGAATTAGTCTCGTGTGTATAACATCTTAGCTTAATGGGCATCTCACTGGAGTAACTATTTGTCACTTTGATTTCCAATAATATTAATGATTTATTTTATTTCAGAATTATGATAGATTAGCTGATATAACTCAAACTAAAGGGAAAGACATTTGCATTTATCTAGTTGTTTTGCTTCTTTACATCCATAATTTTTTGCTTTTAAAAGAAATGAACCAGTGCCACATTTTGCAGTTACAGACTTGGAGCTAAAGAAGGCTTGAACGGGAAAAAAGGTCACACAATCATCTGTTAGTACTATTTGTTATGATCCATTGGTAGTCTTAACATTGTGGCAGGTCTGGTGGAGGATGTGGTAAGGACTCCTGCTCTCCTTTTCCATTGTTCACTATAAATACCATTCCTAGTCCCCATGCCTGGTGTATATCAATGTGGCAGTGCATATACCACACCCCTGCAAAAAGTTTCATGTTATTGATAGTGAGAAATCAATAATTCCATTCACAAAAAAATAAAACAATAATTCCTTGATTTTTAAGTAAAACAACAGAGAAATGAAACACACATTAAGGTTTATACCTGGATTATCAGCAATAAAACGTATTGCTGCCCATCCACCCACTGGAACACCAATTGTGTTCATGTATGGGGGATCCACTAAGTTGAATTGTGCAGTTAGTGGGTTATAGTTGCCTGTGCCATACCCTACAACATAAAAACTGTAGCCGTGGAAGTGAATTGGGTGGTTTTCAGTGTTGACTATCCCAGTGTCCTGCAAAATGAGTTGCACCTTGCTACCATATTCAAGGACCTTTGTTCGAGTTCCATTCAATGACTGTGTGTCATATGTAATGTTATTAGGGGCACCATCAACAAAGTCATAGAACTTAGGGGGTGCATCAGGAAAATCTTCAGTATATGTTCCTTTTATCTTCTTATAATAAGCTTCCAGGATTGAAATATTGGGATGAACGAAACTTATATTGTTCATTGAAGCTGCCAGCACCCCATTATTCATGGCTTGGCAGTTTTGCTTTGGTGTCTTCGACTGACACTTTTGAACATTCAATCCAATGGTGATGAATAGGTTTGTATCAATTTTTTTGAAAACATTGACTTGATTTAGACTCCTTAATCCGTCCATGACTGTCTTAACAGCCAGTTTATCATCTAGATTAGGTAATTTAGCTGGTAAATATACGCTATCAGATGCAGCGCCTATATAGTTGAAGCAGGCAATGGCTGAAACGTTTTGATAATTGACAATCTTCCCAGACTTGTAAGGTGCCACAATCATGGAGTATTTTCCTACTGGTTGATCAGCAGATACAAGGACATTCAGTGTTTGGCCTGGTCCAAGCATCACTATGTCTGTGGTGAATGGCTTCGTGTATTCAGCATCAGCCTCCACGATTGTTAATTTGTGATTAGCAATGGCAAAGAAGTTCTCAGTGTTTAAACCCGCATTAATCAGTCTTAACAAATAGGTCTTCCCCAGAATAACATCAATTTGGTAGACATCTGAAATAATAAGGAAAGAAACGTATGAAAGAAAAGGGAAGGCAGAAAATTTAAACTACAACAGTTGTAAGTTGTGGTAGACAGGTTTAATAGACCAGTGGTTATGTAGTGTCTTGGATATTGTCAAGATGTCAAAAAGAGTGTTAGTGAAAGAAGATGGCCATCATTCACCACTTAATCCATATTTTTTTGTATTAACTTAATCTGATTGTAATATCTTTTAAAAACAATCACTGACCCCAATTAGTAGACAATTTTAAACAACCCCAATAAATGTAAATCACCATTATCACAATTACTTTGTTAGTTGTTATCTTCTGTTATCTCAAGTACCATTAGTGGAGCAGTTGTAGTTGGGGCCTGGATGACCGTCAATGGTATATGCATCTGCTGTAGGAGGAGGTCCTCCACTTGCAAGAGTGGCATGCTCAATTTCTTGAAGGTCCTGCAACCAATACTCCCCTGCCATAATTCGAATCAACCCACAACAATAGCATTATATGGAAAACATACAACTCTGTAACACTCTAAATTCAGAGCCAAAGGGGGGTTACCTAGTATGATTATGTGCTCTTGATAGGGAATCTTAAATGGGTAAGGTACCCTGTTCTTTGGATAAACAATCATGGCACCATAAACTGTTCCTCTTAGCCAAGAAACATGAGCATGCCAGAAGAAGGTGCCCTTCTGCTTCACCACTGAAAAATTATAGGTGAAACTCTGGCCTGCTTGAATTGGACACTGTGTAATAAAGGATGGTCCATCATACCAGCATGATAGCCTTTGCCGGACACCATGCCTAGAAAAAAAAAATTCAAGATTGTTAGCTATAATAAAATCATTAATTAAATGAGTTGTTTTATGCATGAGGTTGTAATTGGGATTACCAGTGAATTGTAACATTGAAAGGTGTCATATTGGTAACTTTAACTAGGATTCTATCATCTTCTTGGGCGTAAACAACAGGTCCTGGAAACATACTATTAATTGTGACAATGTCTTTGGAGTTGCAAAGTTTGGTAACTCTTTTAGTTTGAACCTGTGCAGTAACCAAAAAGATCATCAAAATATAAAGAAAAGGGCATTAGAATAAATTGCAATCAATTGGAAAGTACAATAATGCACACTTCAAGAATAAATTATACCTTGAAATCATAGAAACGGGTTGATTCTCCCTTGGTACTCCCACATGCTATAAGTTTCACATTGTAGATAGTAGATATCATACTCAACCACAGCATAAACGAGGAGACTAAGTTGGCCATTATCAGGAGGAGTGAATAGAGGTGAAGGCTTGAGGTGGAATGGAAGGGAAGCCCTTTTAAAAGGGTGGACTCTTTTTGGTAGATATATTTTTATTATAGGAAAGTTGGAAAAAGGCTACGCAGGTTCTATTCTATTTGTCAGCTTTCATGATTCCTCTAGCGTGAATTGGTGATAATAAGGTGTTGGGAAGTGATTATTCAACATGACTACAATGGTAGGGAAGGCTTCAGCATACCCTTTTCTCCCCCCCTCTGTTTTTATCTATTTTCTGTTGCAAATCATGCCATTGACTAAGAATAGAGGGCACACATGCTACATATCAAACCCCACCATAATCAGCCACTCCCTTTCTGTTCTACTTCGTTTCCATAAATTTGAACGCTCTTATTACTTTTTATTTTAGAATAACATATTCTAATCAAGTTTACTCTTGATATTAAAAACCATATGGTAGAAACTCAAACTACAAAGCAGCATTCTCCCTTCAGCCATCACTAGTATGGAACAAGAAGACAAAAGTAACAGCTAATCATATTTCAATATGTTAATTGTAAGTTTGTAACTGCTAACGTTGCTGTGAATTGGTTATTATTCTAGTAAAAAAACCAACCACATTTTTTAGAGTTGAATAAATAAAGCACTGAAAAGACAAAGATTTAGACAACTCAAAACGCTCATTATCACTTTGTATTTGGGGAAAAAGGTGAGTAAAAGGTGTGTTACTTTGTTCTGCTTTTATTAGACATCTTCCTCTTCTCAATCATAAGCAAAGTTGATGCACGCCTTCACATCCCTAGACCACCATTATTGGGTTAATTTAAAACACATCCTTCGTTACATTTTCAAAGCATTCCAAACATCTTTCTGTTTGGCTGATTCGCTTAACAGGAAATGTCACTTGGTGATGCAATACATGTGTTTTGCATGATACCTTTCCCAAACAATTTCATTTGAAAAGAAAACATTTCAACACTAATTTTTGGATTGGTAATTCATAATACATTCTTCATGCAACTTACTGCAAATGCATCCAATTAAACTATTGAATGGACTTTAATAATTGGCAATGTAACTATATGTTATTGATTAGTTTCTTTTCATCACTCCAAATTACTTTTAACCCATTTATTATTTTGTATAGCTAACTCATAATACACATAAACTAACTTACCCACCTTACAATTCAGTCTCTTATCAAATAAAAAAATGCCATTCTTTGAGAGGCTCTTGTAGAACAAGATTGTATAAGCTAGCCATGCCAAGATGGGGCAACCAGATGATTGTGTCTCATGCGTGCCATGACATATATAGTCACTTCTGAAACACTCTTCTGGCCTGCGTGTGATGTATTCAGTGCCCACTGCGTACTATAAATTGCTCCTCTCATGAACAGTAGTGGATGGTTTCCCTCCCATAACTCCATGCACCTTCTCTCACGTTATAACCTTTTTAGTTGGTTCCTTTTCTCATTTCCTATTTTAGCTAAGTTTTTCCCCCCCCTTTTCTTTAGATTAAATACCAAGTACTATAAAGATTGTATTCAATATGTTGCATGTTGTTCAATACCCTAGCCAAACCACGCGTATCAGATGCAATAGTTCCTCCTTTATGATGATCCTGTACAGATAAACTAAGTAGTTGTATGATCCAAACTTAGTTGTTAATGAAGTGTCAACCTTTTATGTTTTCCCTTTGATTCTTTACTACTCTTTTGAATATATATATGGCAAAATGATTTGTAAAGTGACGACATATAAACGTTGATGCAATCACTAAAAAATTACGTCGTTTTGGGTGGGATAAAGGAAGTTCGCGTTCAAAATTAATTGTAGAAAATGAAAATATTATATTTATTTCTACCTTTGTATGGTTATAATTAGAATCGGAAAAACAGGCTCGGCTCGGCGGGCCAACCCGCCTAACTCGCCAAACGGGACGGGGTGAGCTGAGTTTTTCAACCCATTTTAAAAGCGGGACGGGCTCATTTTTTGGCGGGTTGATGGCGAGCATAGGCGGGCTGAGACGGGTCAGTGTAAAATAAGCTCGGGCTGGCGGGCCAACCCGCCCAACCCGCCAAACGGGGCGGGGCGGGCTGCCCACTTTGCCACCTCTAGTTATAATTATTCATATTTAATGTTTTCACACTAAAAAACAATGTAGTTTTATATGACTGCACCAATCTTTAGATGCAATCATTGTACATCCGCTAAACCCTATATATATAGGCGAGATCAATGCTTAAAAAAAAAACTGTTGATAAATCTCTGCATACTTTCTGAAACTTCTCTTGCGAATGTACAACAACTGAACTAACATAATATATGTTCATAGACTTTGAGGCACAATGATGCCATGCGCATGAAATGATAACTTATTTAATGCTTTTCTTTTAGTTTATGAAGTCCCATCTAGGTCTATGTGCAGGCATTGAAGTTAGAAACTGTGCCCAAATAAGAAGCATCTATTTTATTGTTGTAAAACTTTAATTTACTGGTTGTGAATACAAAAACTGTGTAAGAAGCATGTAAACTTTGCTCTGCTATGAAAGGCTCAAGCATTATATAACCATTAAAAGCACATCAGTGCCTGGCAAATTGATAAAGGTACTATTTTTTATGCCTAGATAGTTACTTACTCTATACTACTCTGCAGAGATTTTAAGGAAGTTTTCCTTCAACAAACAAGGAGCAGTTTCAGTAGTATCTTGTTGCGCTCAAAAACAAGATACTACACCAAACCATTGTAACCTCCTCTCCCAAATGTATCTTTAAAAAATAAACAAAGAACCCACCTTCATTCAACCAATTACTATAGCAATATAGTCTAAGTGATCCCGAAAGAGACAATGAAAAGTTTGGAAAGGAAAAGCATCAAGGCTATCCATAATCTAGCGATGTGTTTTGATGCTAATGTGTTTTGCTTCTAATTTGATAAGTGTACACATGTCTTCGTAGACTTCAGAGAATTTATAGAGAAATTTGATGTCATTGAATGCAAGTTTGGTTTCAAATTGTGCCTATAGATTTTATTATGTGCACTTGATTGTTCTTTATTATTCTGTTCAGATGGGACTTTCCAGTTTTACAAAATGAACATCATCTACAGTAAAAGCAGCATAATCTCCCTCAACTAAAATACAATACAGATCAAAATATAAGTGTACCAATTAATATATGAATAATAATGGAAAAAAGAAAAAATCTTGAACCAACTACAGGAAAGCATCAGAATATGGAAAGAAAGCTTCTATGACTATTATAAATTATCAGAATTTGATCTCCAATTCTAGCTCATAGATTGTGCTTTGTTAATTTATTTTAATTTTGTATACCAACCAATGTCCGAAGTCCTAACAAACCAAACTAATCCGATTTCGGATTTAAGTCTCTCCACCATCTTCAGGAATTGTGACTCTAAGAAATCGAACCCATTAGTTAACAAGGAACCATAAATGTTGTCATTTACGTTGAAACTGATGCAGTAAGCAGTGCAACAAGGTCATTGAATTCAATGTCTATCACTGCTGTTCTCTGGATCTATTCTTTTAGTTTTTTTGCTAAATCCTCTGGATTCTATTCTATCTTCAATGTTTAAACCTCTCCCAGTATTTCATTTGCCTCACTGGTTGCAAGTTTTGAAGAAACTGAAACGACTTCAACAACAGAAAATCCAGAAGATATCCATTTAACCATTAATAGTATAGCCAATTCACACGCATTGATATAGTTGTCATTTGCTTCATAATGTGGAAAGAAATAGAATAAGATTTCAACTCAAAACAGAACCCCCTTGACTCCATAAATGAAGAAAAACCCTTCCAAAAACAAAGATTTCCAAGCATTATTCACTAAGAGTAAGACATGCTTAAATTTGACATCCACTTAAGCATTATACAGTAGAAACCTGTTATCTTCACCAGTGAAGCAGAAAATCTCATCCTCTATCAAACTCCATGGTAACTACCACTCCTCGTCAAACCCCGACCAGTGAGGGTGAGATGAGGGCAATCTCTGTAAGTAACATTATCCTTGCATATTTACAAAGAGATTATTTCCTTGAATCGAACCAATCACCTTTCAGTCATAAAAGAATAATTTTTCCACTACTCGAGGCTAGCCCTCTTCAAATTCCAGGGTAACCATTTATGCAGATTTATTACTTGCCCAGCTCAGAGCCTCAGATTGAGGAATGATATTTTAATAAACATAAGGAATTTATTTTGATAGAGAGGGAACTAGGTAGCATCTGCAAATGGTTGAAACTTGAAACTTTCCCTTCCACCCTCTGTCAGGAGGGTGCCAACAGAACACAGATCATTGGCACCATAAACTTCAAGTCTTCAACCAATATAAAAGGTGAAAACTGAAGATTTCAAGCCATAAAACAAAAACGTACTGATTTTTACAGATATCTTTTGGTTCAATTTAGTTGATAAAGTCAAGAGAAAAGTACAAACCTACCAATATGTAGCAATCAACAGCTAACTTCCTTCTTGCTTTACTCTAACCATAAGATTAATAGGTTCATGAAACGATCTATATCATCTCACTAGTTTCAAATCCAGCGGTTATACAAACCAGTGATCCTTAAGATAAAACGAAAAAATAAAATAAAATAAAAACTACCTACAAATTTCTTGACATGTAGATCCATGAATTTTACAAAACAAAAAGACTCATTTTTTCATGACATGATCAATAACAGAAACACCCCAAGAACAGAAACAGTGAAAACTCAGAAGACAAACCCCACAAAAGATCATGAGATTGAGATCATGGTGTGATGAAGAGATCAAGGATGAAGCTTGGAGTTAGAGGCATGAGGGGTGGTGGGACCCTCTTGGGGGAGATGAGAGATGGGGTTGGTGAGCATGAGAGGACGATCATCATTGTCATCTTCGTTGTCAATGGTGCTGAGATTGATGCAAGAACAACGCTCCAGTGAAGCAAAGAAAGCAGATGCCATGTTTGTGCCAACCCAATTGGCCACACGGTCCAGT